TGTCCCACGCGGCCCGGAACGCCCGGACCCAGCTGTCGGAGAGAACGCACGTTGGGTCGCCAGCTCGGAGCCGCGCGCCCTGAGTTGGAGCGGCAGAATTCGGCGGCGAAGTGAGCCGCGGCCGCACGAGGCGTCGGCAGGCCGCGTGCCGCCGTGACACCGCCGTCACGGCCGGCTGTTTGCCTGACCGGCGCGCCGGCTCATCGTTAGGCGGGCCGACGATGGGGCTGATAGGACGGTGGCGCTGGCTGGACCAGCGCTGGCTGGGCCAGCGCTGGCTGGCTGGCGTGGGTAACTGCTGTGCCAGGCTGCGACCCAGCAGGCAGGTGCGCCGTGTGCAAGTCACACCCACGCCAGCCAGGCAATGGTGACACGCCCAGCAGGCGCTGCTTGTCGCTGGTCGGACATCGGCCACCGCCGGACTGGCCTCCGCTGGTCAGAGCCGGTGCACAGTGCCGGTCAGGAGCTCAGGGCGATGCTTACACGTCACGTGCACGCTTCTCCCAGTCCTAATGGGCCGTGCACGGCCACCTGCGCGGGTCAAACAGGCGCGACATGGCTGAGCAGACGCCAGACGGGATTACCCCCCTCGGCCAGGCAGGCAGGGGGGGGGGGACACGTCCAGCAGCGTACAGTCGGCCAACTCGCCGGCCTGCAGACGACAGCCGCGAGGAGGCACGCTCGTGGGGCGAGTCTAGACTGCTCGCCCGCTGTATTGAATCGTTTAAGACAATTCGCTGTTTCGCCTTTGGTCGCCAGCGAAGCGGCCGTGCAGCGGCGGCGTCCCTGGGCTGTGTTTGCCCAGTGCAAAGGTCAATCTGCCGACGTGAGCTGGCGGAGCCCGCCGAGCCGTGATTCCATGTCGTGGCGTGCCGAAAAGGGCATGGCCAGCCCGTCGCGTGCATTGCTTTTTTTATTTGCCAGCAGCCGCTTGTGCGAACGGGGGCTCGTTTCCAAGGGCTCACTGCAGGGGACTGACACACGAGTGCACCCTCACACAGGAGCAATGTGCCCTGCCTGGTGCCGCGACACTAACTTTTATCCGTCTCAGTCAGACCAAACTATTCCTAAGAATAATGTCAGCTGCTATGAAGTCCATCCTCGTCCTGACCGACGTATTAGAATTGCTGTAACGGTGTAGTTGTGGCGGTATTGGGGATCCGCCGTCGCCCACCGTCACCATGCCAGCGCTAGGCCACTGTCCAGGCTGGCCTCCGCTGCGATCTCCTGACGTAATCTCCCGCTGTGATCTCCTGACGTGATCTCCCGCTGTGATCTCCTGGCGTGATCTCCGGGGACCCGGTTGGCTAAGTTGGATGTGCTTCTGGTAGGTGGATCCAAATATTCAATTGCGATTCGATCGGCACACATTCCGCATGCAATGAAGCTGTCGTGACATTTTCGTGAGTCGTAATGTGCAACTTAGCTTCAGTGATCTGGGGTCCAGTTTCTATGAAATATGTAACATGAGGAAACACACCCATCATTCGTGTTGATGAAGTAGATACTGGACATATATTGACCGGGGACTCCAACAGTTAGCTGACAGCCTAATCTCGCTATGGACAAACCCAATTTAACGCCTGCTGTGAAAGATACTGTGTTGGACGCGTGGGGACTGGGCGAGGGTCCTGAGTGAGTCGCCCCACGGCCTCAATAGCTGCCACCCACCCGCCCGGCTCGGGCAGTGGGCGGACCCAGGCCAGCTCTCGGGCCTCGTCTGTTGTCGAGGCCTGAGAACTCCGCCGCTCCCGCGCACGCCCGGTGGGACAGCCGCTAGCCTGTACAGTTGTGCACGGTTCCCACCACACAGCCGCGGCGTCGGAGACTACGGACGTCCTGACGACGCTAAGACCATTTTGGCGCCCCTGCTTTTTATAATTATGACTGGAGGACGCGAGCGTGGTGACCGAAAAGTCGACAACCCTTACATTTCCCGTGAACGCATGCTCCGATAATCTGTGGCACTCAAAGTCCCATATCGGGCTCTTCGCAGCCGCCTGAGCGGTTGTGCGGAGGCGGAGGGGTCACGGTCTGGGCCGGTGTGCCCGGCAGTGGTCAGATGCCAGCGAGTGCGGAGGCGGAGGGGGCACGGTCTGGGCCGGTGTGCCGGCGGTGGTCAGGTGCCAGCGAGTGCGGAGGCGGAGGGGGCACGGTCTGGGCCGGTATGCCGGCAGCGGTCAGGTGCCAGCGAGTGCGGAGGAGGAGGGGGCACGGTCTTTGCCGGTGTGCCGACGGTGGTCAGATGCCAGCGAGTGCGGAGGCGGAGGCGTCACGGTCTGAGCCGGTGTGCCGGCGGTGGTCAGGTGCCAGCGAGTGCGGAGGCGGAGGCGTCACGGTCTGGGCCGGTGGACCGGCGGTGGTCAGATGCCAGCGAGTGCGGAGGCGGAGGGGGCACGGTCTGAGCCGGTGTGCCGGCGGTGGTCAGATGCCACAGAGTGCGGAGACGTAGGGGTCACGGTCTGAGCCATTGTGCCCGGCGGTGGTCAGGCACGGTTTACGGCCGCTGATTAAGCCGGATGGGGCGTAACGAGCTCGTTATCAGGCGCCGCGGCGGCGGCCGTGCCACTCCAACGGTGTTCCCGGGCGGCCGCTGGCGGCGAGGGCAGCGGTCGCCCCGGGAGACAGCCTCCATCTCTACCGGAGCCGGCGCAGAGCCGTAACAAGGCGTAGCGGGGATGAGAGGAGACAGCCTCCATCTCTACCGGAGCCGGCGCAGAGCCGTAACAAGGCGTAGCGGGGATGAGAGGAGACGGCCTCCATCTCTACCGGCGCCGGCGCAGAGCCGTAACAAGGCGTAGCGGGGATGAGAGGAGACAGCCTCCATCTCTACCGGCGCCGGCGCAGAGCCGTAACAAGGCGTAGCGGGGATGAGAGGAGACAGCCTCCATCTCTACCGGCGCCGGCGCAGAGCCGCAACAAGGCGTAGCGGGGATGAGAGGGAGCTCGCTCCCCTCTCCCCGCATATTTTAAGGTATGTTTTGTATGCAACAGACATAATATGAATGATTTTAACTTGTGACGAATGCTAGCCTTAAGGTCACCTCAATAGATTTCTCGAGCCACGTGGAACGACATGACTACTTGATTGCAGGTTTCTCCTGCACCTTTATCAACGCCTGGCTAAGCACCTGGCTGCCTAGTAACCATGCATCTCTTTGTGCAGGTGGCCAGAGATAGATTCATACCATGAGCCCTCGTGAAAGAGAGCAATTGACTTCCATAAATCAGCTTGACTGCCTGGGCAATAGGTTATACCGTGCGGTAATCTTGGCGTACCAGTAATGCCAGACTGCGGACAGCCTTGCAGCATGTGGATGGCATTTGCCGCATCACAAGCTTTCAACGAAACCGTTGTTTTCACCCCTTACACATCTTATAACTATATTCAAATATGATGGCGAATATTTGAAATCGGGCCTGTTCGCAAACGGCGGGTTGTAAGTCCACGCCATGTGTGTATAATCACTTATTTGTGTGGAGTGGTAGCTAATGTCAAACAAATAAATAACTAAATATGCCGTGTATGTTTAATCTTATGCTGTCTGGCTGGTCACCATAGAGGTTTCGGAAGAGAGAGAGAGAGAGAGAGAGAGAGAGAGAGAGAGAGGAGAGAGAGAGAGAGAGAGAGGAGAGAGAGAGAGGGGGGGGGAGGCTAGTGTACCAGCGTGTTTTCAACCTCCGTCGTGCGAGAGACCTCAGAATCTCCATTAGACTTTCTCTAGAAAAGTTGTTAAACTTGTAAGCGCTTGACTTTGAAATTGCCAGTAGACTAGGCTTTAACTTCCTTCATCTTGTGTCGACGTTTGACTAGACAAGTCACATTGCCTATGAGTGATGGCCTATGCCGAGGACGCGTCGGCACTATGTCGTGTTCAAGCATGCAGTTGCACCCGTCCGTCATGATATGCATTCTGGAAGCCTCACCTTAACTCTGTTCTCATGTTGGGGTCATATTGACCCACGGTGTTTTTGTTGTGGGTGCATTCCAAACCGTTGCAGGTAGTCCTCAAACATAGCGACTTGGGCAAAAAATACGTTTGGTATTACCCGCCAAATTTCGAGCTGCCTATCACTAGATCCGATCCAAAAGTGTGTCGGCAATCGACCAAGCAGTAGTTCATGCCACGGTCTTCGAAAGCCGCTGTTAGTGCATCCTGCTGTGGCCTTAACCAACATAGATTGGGCCATGAGATCTGCAGCAGAGACAGCAGCCCAGTTTATTGAAACAATACCCATCCATTTTTCGTTTTGTGCTATGCTTTGGTCACAGTTTAATCGAAATTGTAACCCATTTTGAATGCCTCGATTTCACGTATTAAATTTCCCCGGTCTTGTCAGGCCCAATGCGAGACGATTTTTAAGTGTTATTCTTTGCAGACATATGCACGAACACTATATATCAGTGTACTTCTGTTTATCGACCTCATGAAAGGAAGATCGATGCTCCTGTCAACATCTTGATTCACTGGTCCCCAAAGCAACGGCTAGATGGGCTCACGTTTCGTTCAACATTTCAAGCATTCGCGTTTGAGAATGCCTGCCTTTCTCACGCAGGAGCAGGCGTTCCCCAGGCTATTATTACGCAGTGAGACAAGGAAAGCAAAGTGAAGGGTGGCTACAGGCTCGAAGGGCTGGGGAGAGGTTCAGAAGTAGAAGGAAAGCGGGAGGAGCGAGTCATAACCTCCCCGCAGCTTCTGCGAGCTCCAACGTCCTTACATCGTAGGATGTTGAACACAGAGCATTTTGCCTCGAAGTACGTTTCTGCACAGGTAACCCCAATGAAGGCTTTGAGCAGGTCAGCCATGACCAAGGCCGTTCGGGGAACGAGTGAGGCGAGCAATGGTTATTGGTCAGTATGATCCGCAACACGCTGGCCGGTCAACCCAGATATGTCCAGTACTTGTTCGTGATGCATGCAACTCCTGGTTGGTCCGTCACGCTAATCCTCACCTCGCGTGAAAACAACTAGATATTGACAGACATCTCCTCTCTTCCAGGGATCTCAGGTTCAACGAGATCGAGCACCTGCCACCGGGCAGCTTTCTGCGCATGCGCAACCTCAACACACTGTGAGTCGACCGGCTTCAAGCGAGGAGCTCATCCCTGGGATTGTGACCCCGTACTCTGTCCGTGGGTCGTCATCATTGATGGTTGGCGCCGGGTTTGGCATCCGGCCCGGGCGCCAGGTCGCGCTACCCCGCCTCCGAGACGCTACCCTGTGTTGCCGCGGCCACCCTCTCTCGCGCGCCGGCGCCGGCGCTGCACGCGTAGCCTGCTCTGGGCGGGGCCGGACTGCGCTGCCCGGCCTCACCCAGCGTCAGCGGCGGCGACCGCCCTCTCCCGCGGCTCCGCGCGTGCCCTGCCGCCCTCACGTGCTGCCCCGTCCGCCGCCAGACTCCTCAACAACAACAAGATCGGCCAGCTGAACAAGGGCACGTTCGCGGGGCTGGACGACCTGCGCTATCTGTGAGTACGGCGGGCGACTGTTGCCGGGCGGCCGCGGCTGACTGCGGACTGCGGCGGCGCCGAGGAGGCCTGCCGACGACTCCCGACCGCGACCCGCCGGCGCTGCAGAGCCGCCCGTCCTAATCCTGCCCAATGATTTACTGTATGGTCTTTCGGGCACAGATTGACCATTACTGCAAACGGTAGTCATCCCCCGGCGGCAGTTAGCGGCAGACAGTGGGATGAATGATGCGCCGCCGCCATTTTGATTTAAATGCACGATGGGGTTTTACGACAGTGCCCAAATCACATAAAAGTGCGATTGTATTATTCCGTGTGCGTTTTGAGAATATGAGATCGGCCGTCCATGCAGCTCGCTATACCAACACGCAGTTCATCCTCTCAGCACACGCTCTCACGCACGACGCGGGCACTCTCTCCGCTCCTGCACGCGGAGGTCGGTGTCGGGGTGTGCGTAAACGTCCGGGGCTGCACATTGCGGCTCGCAGTTTTCGGGGGAGGCCCGCCCGGACCGCGGGAGGCCCGCCATACAGCTGTGGTGACCGGGCCGTTTTTGGTGTGCGTGCGTGTGTCGCACCAGCGCCGTGAGCCGTCGGCCAGTCACATTGACCGCCATTGTTTGTTCACGTCGGGACGTATGACTAAACAAAGGAATCGAGTGCGGCGCGGGCGACTGAGCCGGGCTTATCGGGCGGCACAGCTGGAGCCTGTGCTGGAGAGACGGGCGACGCTGGCAGACGGCGCGCTTTTGTGTTGTGTGACGGCACCTCGTGCTGCTCCGTTGGAATCACCTTTGTCAGGTCGATGAACTTCTCAGCACCAAATGGGGCGATGCTCTAAACAGGCTTTTGCTCCGATGCCTGGTATTTGGTGCTGGCCAAAACGTTGGTCGGCATAGACGTCATCCCTCTTAACATTAGATGATTTGATCATTTTTTGTTGGATTCCAGTCTGAAATCTTGTCATGTTCTCATTGTTTGCTGTTGATAAAGGTTTGCGCTTCTCAACATTTATTTTGATCATGTACGACGCGGCTTAGCGAAAGCCGCCGATTTCGTCCCCGTCCCTGGCCAAGCAGTCTAAATTCAGCACGAGGCTCTGTCCCAGGCCCTGTTCGATCTGTTCTCAGCACGAGTGCGGACTGGAACGCATGACGCCATGTGTGCTGACGGAGCGTTTGATGTGTGGCCTGACGGGAAAGCTTTTTAACTTAACCATTCCCATTTCATTTATGATTATTTTCTCTCATTTTGAATGTTAATTGATAACGCTATGAATTTTCTGTGGAGTACAGCCAAACGCTTCACCAATATCACTATCACTCGCCTTTTCATGGCCACTCTTGACGATTCAATTTCTTCCTTATCTATCTTACATAATATTCCCCCCAAAATAGAGGCAAGCACCCCCACCCCACCCCACGTACCCGCCAACGCAAGAGCTACCAAATCAAACTACCGCTCCATTGTCAGAGGACGATCCAGATGAAGTTGCGACGAGCTGTCATGTCCTAGGTCAATTTCATGTTAGGTACTCTTTAAGACGAACACGACACCTAGCCTGCCCGGCTTAGCCCGTGCTTGCATAGCGCGCGCCGTTATACATGCCCTCGACATCTATCAGCGAGCGCACGCTGTATACCGGCCCTCGACTCTATCGGCGGGCGCACGCCGTATACCGGTCCTCAGCATCTATCAGCGAGCAAACGCTCACCTTACCAAATGCAGGCATTTGATATCCGGTGGTTGTCAGAGGACGTCATTGCCAAATACGGTTATTTGGGATCCAGCAGAGCTATTGGTTCCAATTTTAGCGTTGGTATCAGCTGTGACAGACGTGCCTGTCTCACCAGATGATGTCCATTCAGAGACAAACGGCTGAATCACCACCGCCTCACCTTCCCTATGCCCTGCAAGGTCATTTGTGATCCCAAACAACTGGAGGCGCATAACTTACCTGATATGGTCTCCTCGGGATTGAAATATTAACGGGCGCCTGCCGTATAAAATCAATGCAGTCGGAATAAAACAACCGGCATCTGCCTGCTGTACCTCACGAGGTCATATGTAATTTCAAATGGCCGGCCATCCGACGGCTCCTCTAAACGAGGGCCATCACTTTGAAGAGGACACCTCCAATACGCAACGTGATACCTGCTTAAGCGACATGAGAGCAACGGTGCTAAAAGAGTGATGGTGTGTGTTTTCCTTCACAGTGCCGGCATATGTTATTGAATCTTGCTTTTGCGCGCTCTAAGCTTTCAGTAATGAATGGCTGTAGTGTTTGCGTGATGCTATGTGTGGTTATATAGGCTTTGGTATTTGTTGTTAGATGGCATTTGCGTGGTATCTTTCGACTCATCTTCGACATATACCTATTGCTGTTTTGTTTCACAAGATGGACCCGCTTGCATGGCTGCTGGCGTTTTAGGCAACAACTCGTGCTGACGTTCTGGTGCATTTGTTCTCAGATATATGTACAAAAATAGGATACGCCACATTGATAGCGAGGCTTTCCACGATATGCCGAAGCTAGAACAACTGTGAGTATGCTTTCTCCGTCGGCGTAGCCCAGGGCTATGAAACATGGAACATGAAGTGTGGATTGAATAGTTGTGCGCTCAGAAATTATTGCAATGTATTTGGCCTTTTTTATAATTACTTGTATTTTCAGTGACCGCTAAATCGTTCAGCTCTAGCTTAACGTCGTGAGACTGTGAAGCTCCGACTCGATTGTACTCGATTGTGCAGCGACTGTTTTGAGGTGTACAATATATTTCACTGTAATTGTAATGTAATTGAGGTCTGAGGCCTCAATGTAATTGAGGTGTGCTGTATGGCCTTGTCCATATCTTAAAGACAATGCCTGCTCTCTTCCTCCTCCCCTCCCCCAGAGTCCTCCGGGCGCTCACTGAGACCTGGCTCAGAAGTCAGTGATGTCCCCTCGTCACCACCGCCGCGGGCGTGCGCCGTACCAGCTGACCCTGCCGGCCGTCCTAGAGCCTCGATCGGTCCACCGGCCGTTTCGGGGCCTCGGAGCGGCCAGTCGGCTGTCTCAGGGCCTCGGAGCGACCGGCCGGCACGTCTCGGGGAGCGGCCCGCCGGCCGTCTCAGGGCCTCGGAGCGGCCGGTAGGCCGTCTCGGAGCTGCCCGCCGGCCGCTTCAGTGCGGCGGCCGCTCCCGTCCCGGCCGACGTAGGCTGGCGGCGTGCGGTCTCGTGTGCTAGTGTCAGTCGGCGGCAGCGCCCGGTCAGATCAAGCGTAGCCGCCGCCGCCTGTCCGGGCAGGTGTTCTCGGGCGGCGCCGGGGGCGGCGGCACGTGCTGGCAGCATGTGCAGCCGTGCACGCTGGCCAACCCAGCGCCGCTCGCCGGCGCTCCGTTCAGGCTGGCACTGCGATCGGACTCCCGGCCGACGCTTTGGCTGCCCTGGGCGATCCGATTAGCCCTGCTCCGGCCATGTATGGCTGTTGCATGTCTGAGCGCCGCTAGTCCGGTACTACGCCGGCCTGCCGTCAGAGGCCGCCGGCGAAACATCTATCTTCCCGGGACATGCTCACGCGCGGTATGTCCGCGGTTTGTCCTCCCCTGTGACCGCTGCTGATGTGCAGCGCATTGTCCTGTGCATATTTGGCAATGCTGGCAGTGAAAGAACGTCCGGAGTCCCAGCACGACTTCCAGCAGGCGTTGCGACGCAATTCAGATGACAGGGCTTTCATTTTCGGCAATGTCTGGCCACCGCGCTGGCCCCCACGCAGAGTACGCACACGTGATGAGCGTGCATCGCACTCCAGTCGGAGAGCACGAACTTATCGGCGGCTCTGTGACGGCCGCTGCACTCGTTACGACCGGTCGCCCGGCGTCGCTGCCGTCAGCCGTCAGAGGCCGGGCCGGCGCCCGCCGGCCGCCCGCCCGCCGGCGTCTGCCGACCTCCCGCCGGTCGGCTGTCCGCCGCCAGACGCCGACCCCAGGGCGGCGCGCGACGCTGACCGATGCGGCGTCCGGACGCCGGGTCGGCGCGCCCGACCGGTCCGTATTTGTCACACTGGGGCGGTTGTCCTCTGGGAGGGAGCGGCCCGGCCCGGCCCGGCCCGACCCGCCAGCGCACCGCCGACGCGCACCCAGGCGCCGCCCCGCCCCGCTCTGAATTATGGATGAACCGTTTTCCCAGGTACCTGCATTACAATTACATTGAGGATGTCAGCGCGGAAACGTTCAGCAACCCTACCGTCCATCGAGCGCCTGTGAGTATGTGGCACAGCGGTGCGGGGGCGTGCCGGCGCGTGCGCGCGTCAGATGTCCGCCCAACACCTCAGGTATCGGAAAGGGTGGCTGATGAACTGGGTCGTCTGAGCGTCGCTGGTGCGATGTGTAATAACGCATCACTTAGATGGCCGCCACTTTGCTCGCCGCTGTGTCCACGCCACACAATAGTGCGGGTTGTCTAGCCGAGTGATTGGCGTACAATGCCGGCGGGACATCTCCGCAGCGCCACCCCGCGGCGGCCGCCAGCCGGGCCGCAGCGCCGCTCAGTTACCCTGTCCTGCGCCGGGGGCCTGTTGTTCCACTCATCGCCGATCCGGAGCACGGCTTCGCGCCGGCAGTCCTTTGAAGGCGGCGCGAGGCCGCAGCTACCGGCCAGCGGCGGGGCGGCTGGCCCGGACTATTGAGACGTTCAGCTACCACAGCCGACTGTCGAAGTGTCACTGGGCTTGTCTCCCGGGCAGACGGTGGGACCTCTCCCGGGTAGCCTCTGGCTCCCTTTCCTCCCTGGGCAGCCACAGGACCTCTCCCTTCCCAGGCAGCCACTGAATCTTTCTCTCCCCGGCAGCCAATGGTCCCTCGCTTCTGGGCATCCACTTGGGCCCCTCTGGGCAGCCACTGGAGCCTCTCTCCCGGGCAACCAGTGGGCCCTCCCGGTAGCCACTGGGACCTCTCTCCCGGGCAACCAGTTCGGCCTCTCCTCTCCTGCCTCTCTCCCGGCAGCCTCTGGGGCCTCTCCTGGGTAGCCTCTGGAGCTCCTCTCTCGGGCGGCCTTTGGGGCCTCTCTTGGGCAGGCAGCGGTCTTCAGCGGGGCTCGGACGAGTGGTCTGACGCGCCCTCTACTGCTCCAGGTTCCTGCACAACAACAAGCTGCAGCGGATACCCTACGGCGCATTCAGCAACCTGACCTCCCTGAAGCGACTGTGAGTATCCGACACTCCGATAGTCAGGATATTCCTCCTTATGATCAGCCAAGGCCAGCTCCGCTCTCTCTCTTTTCTCCCTTCACTGGTTGCCGGGATCTCCCTTCCTCCACCCCTCCCACATCGTTTAGGGTGTGACAGTCCTCTGTCACCGCCAATGTCTCTCCGTCTGTCACTGACCAGGGTCTCCCATCAGCCCCGTGTTCTGACCTGTCGGAAACGCCCGGAAGCCCATACAAACCGCGACCACCTGATGGGTCGACGGGCGCGTCGCTCCGGCCAAATAAACCCCGGCGCCGCCCCGCCGAACGCGTTTATTTTGCTTTCCTTACGCGCGACTCGTGTGGCGCCACCGTGCGGCGGGCCGTCCGGCGGCCGAGGAGCCCGGCTCGCGCCGCCGCCTCGCCCCCACCGCGGTTCAGGATGGGCGTCGGCCGTCTCCGGCGGCCGGTGTCGGCCGGACGGGCCGACCGGACGGTTCCAGTGGTTGACAGGAGATGACTGCTAAGATCTGGCAGGCAGAACAGCGCATGGGCGGAACAAGAGTCTGGTGATTAGTTGTTTAACGCTGACCTCGACAGACACGTGCTCTTGCATGGCATACACGTTTCGATTACAAGTGCGGCTTCTCGTCGTTTCAGACGGCTAGACAGCAACGCTCTGATCTGCGACTGCCGCATGCTGTGGCTGGCGCACATGCTGAAGGAGCACGCGTCGCGGTCGGTAGCCAGTGCCACCTGTCAGGAGCCGGCCGAACTAAACGGCCGCAGTATAGCCGACATCGAGGATCAAATGTGCGGTGCTGTAAGCGATCCGAGCGCACGCCCGTTGGTTTGAATGGTATCACGTGCGGTTGAGCCGTGCACATGTTGGCAAAGTTATCGTGGCGTGATGATCATGAATGGATTTCTTTAAACAAGGTGTGAAATGGGCAGTGTTGTCGGCGTTGTCGTGGTCAGGGTGTCGGGTCCGTACCTGGTTTGTCTCAGAAACTCGGTGTGCACCAGGCGTGGTTGAGCGTTGCCGCTGAGTAGGAGTGCGGCTGCCTGCACAACATTTCAGCAACTTATCATCAGGATTTGACGTTGCATGGAATGAATGGCCCAAAAATGACATTTGTACCACAATATGTTATGGAAATTCTAAGTTCTGGCACCGGGCGTGGTGATGAAGTGAGTGTCTACGTTGGACTGGGTATTGTGCCTATTTGATAGTGTTAACAATTGGAAGATGTAGAGGACAATGCTCGCGTAGCCTAGTGTTGTGTCCTACAGCGCATCCCCTGCATTGGCACGGGGTCCAGCGCAGGCTTACAGGGTCCTGGGGGTGGACCGACGCCGACAGCAGTGTACCCCGGGGAGGGCTTGGAAGGACTGCACGAACGCAGTTTTATCTCTCTTCCACAATCCCGCGGGGTTAGTGTGAGACTTTTGCAAGGGCGCGAGGCGGCCGCTCCACGCTGCGCCCGCCCCGCCGGCCCCGAGCTGTACCGGATCGTGTCACGCGGTTGGCTGAGCTAAAAACTCGCTGCGGTGAAGCGTGCAAGGCTGGCTGTCGTCGTGCAGAGGGCGTGGGTCACCGAGGTCGGTCTCAGTAGGGGCTGAACCCGTGACCTTGTCTTTATCGACGCAGCGCATCTTCACACGAGATGAGTGTCGGGTCGTG